TAAAATTAACACATCCTGAGTTTACATGCGATAGCGACCGGTGAAGACCATTTCGAACCCTGCCATGAAATGTACGAGATGCGGTGTTGCCAAGCGAACCAATGAAGCCATGTTGCAGAATCTGTGGCAATTCTGACCTTTCATTTCGACCTAAAATGGAGCGCCGCTAGGACCAATCTGGAACCATTCCTAAACAGATTCTTCACAATTCAAAAATGTGTACGCTCAAAATAAAACCATTATTTTGGCGTAGGGAATAAACTAACGTATATTTTCAACATGCATCTTGATTCAAGGCTTTTTCTAGCATATTATGTGTCTATACACACTTCTCTCTAGTACACATTGAACACAAGCCATCAGGTAAATTTGGTTCACAGTGTAAATATGCTTCTTCCCTGCTATAGAATATACCGAATATCATGGGTGCCCGCAGAAATACTTCCCAGTAGGGCAGAGTACGATCATCAGCAGGAGATAACTTTTTTAAAGGGGGGGGGGAGAATACCCTGGCACTATCCTGCGGGCGCCCATGCCCAGTGCAATTGGCTACTTTAACGTAGTTTCCGAAGAAAACAATATACACCGAGTTGGAGGAACTGGTAGGTAAATCTAGGTAAAAGTATGCACTAAATATACTGACTAGCACTGACTTGTAAACATATAGACTTTGCTACTTCTAACATATTCGAATTTGTTCCGTTAGCATTAGCATGAATACCAAAGCTTGATGTCAACATTTGATATTGCCATATCTTTTTGTATTTATATGGTGTCCCAACGAAAATGGAAAGTAGTTTTATGAGCAAACTGGAAAAGATATCAAAAATCTGTCTTCGTGGCAACATTGGTACGTTACTAGTGCATATTTTAAAATAATTTTAATGTATACAGGGTGTGCCATAGTGAAAATGTATTTTTTCCAATAGAAGACCCTATATTTTATTGCAGAGATCTGAAAACAAGAAGTTTGATATGATATAACATTTGGTTTCTATAGTCAATTGTTTAGATATTTAACGAAATGTCTGAAAAAATGACGGCTCGCAGCTCCAGCATTTTTGAAGATATTTAGATAAATTTTTGTTCAATCTGGAAGAAATGCTTAAATATATTTCTGTTTATTGTTCCATTTGCAGTTTTTGAGAAAAGGTACATTTTGCGTTTTGATACCCTGCAAAAATTGAAAAAAATTTCAATACTTCTTCCAAATCAACTGATAATATAATTTTTGTGGTCTAAGATAAATCTAGAATATCTTCAAAAATGGCGTAGCAGCGAGCTGTCAATGCCGGTCATTTTTTTAGATGTTTGACCAAATATCTATACAATTGACAATAGAAACCATATGCTATATCAAGCTTCTTATTTTTAGAAGCTTTATTCAAATATGCAATAAAATAAAGGGTGTTCTATTTTAAAAAATTATATGTTTGCTATGGAACGATTGTTATGGAAGAATTTGTATATATTACAATAATTCTAAATATGCACTAGAAACGTATCAAGCTTGTCACGATAACAGATTTTTTTATATCTTTGCCAGTTTGATCGTAAAACTACTTTCCTTTTTCGTTGGGACACCCTGTATATTGGGGAATCATATCAAGTACATTCCTGCATAAAGGAGTAGTCTTGTTTGCAAAACCTGTATACACACAAAGATATTCCCGTGGGAATACTCCATCGTCCCAATTTTCACTCCAGACTCGATTCCGACTAAAGCACATCGCTATCTGTTGCGAACAAGATGCTGGAGAATAGCTGAGTTACTAATTACTGAACGACGATATTAACGGAAAGTTTGAGAAGTGTGAGCTAAAACTATTATGAACTTTGTTATGAATACTGTCCCTCAGTATTATGGATTATATACCAGGCAGAAGTTTGATATAAACCGAATGCATAAAGTACATTCAAGATTAACGATATATAGTGGAGGAAGTCCCAAAGAGGTGCTCGATAATTAAGGTGGGCATTGTTTGTGAGCGAGAGTAATCAAAGGCGTAGGTAGCGCTACCTTGCCTGCTGGAGGATTGGCAATATTTATGAAAAATACTAAGGTTAGGGATGCCTACTTTTTTGAGAAATCCGAGTACCGGCTGCGTGGCTAATTGCGAATACTGAATTGATTAGTGCTGGTTTATTTTGGTTGCTATCAGTACTATTAAGAATATATTTGAGTTTCTGAAATGTCTTTTTATGCTCAAGTGAAATAGGCGTTAGTGAAGCACCAAAATGGAATTGAAGACCCAAGCGCCATCTGTGAGCCAGTAGCAGAACCAAACACCATTTGCAAAGCAGCTTTTCTAATTTATTTTTGTGTTTAGCTACTGCTTCATAGATGGCGCTAGCATCCAGATCTTCTGAACACCAGAATACAGTATATGGTTGGCTATTTTCAGTATGAATACGTGGATCAATACTATTAAGCTCTGTTACAACAGTTGTCACCAACTGTCAGTGATCCCGCTACACAAATTCCGTTTATTCTGCTACGCTATATAGACGGAATTTACACGGCCGTATCCCAGATACAATCACCGACCACTGTGCGAACAAACCACTAGTCAATCTACTTTCTCATTTTCAACAATTGGCCTCTAAAATGAACCTCATAGTATCGATAACAATGTGCAGTATTTCGTATATGTATATCGCACGGACCACTGACATCCCTAATGGCTATCAAGCGAGCTCCAAAAAAGGTACGGTAGAGTTTTGGAAACTCTCAATCTAAGATACCTTCAGGGTCCTATACAGTAGAATTATTGATACTAAGTAGAAAAGAACTATGAAGAGCAGCTGGGTTTTCGAGTCGGCACTGATGAATCAGGGCACACATACAAAAACTGGAGAGTGTATAGAGTCACCTACTTGGAGTGCAGTTTTTGAAGTAGAGAGTAGAATTCAAAGATGAAGTTAATTTTGTGTTATAGAGATCCTAACATCCTGGGAACGTTTACTATTTTGTCGGAAGTAAATGCATCTCCAAACCTATAGAATAACTAGAAAAAGCTTCGAATGGTCGTGAAACTATGCTCACATTCTTTTAGTTATCTATTACTCCTTCTTTTCCAAGAATTGACAACTTGATTCACCAAGCCCTTTCCAAAGGGCTGTAGCGAATAGGATTGCGAAGTGCGTTACATATGGACTCAATACCTGTAACGGAAATCATTAAAATACCCGACTGTAGTCATAGTTGTACTATCTAGATGAATCTGAGGACACCTCAACTGTCAAAATCCATGAAGCAGTTTGGGATCCGCGAAATAAAAATTTCAAAGTTACAATTTTCCATTAAAGTCCGCCATTTTGGTTTTATAAAATTCCCAGCGTCACCCACGCTACCAAGATGGTGTGTAGTAGATTTTTTCTATACTTTCCACGCCCTAAAAGTAACTTCTAGTACAATTTTCCTTGTAATACATAAAGAAGACGAAGGTATTGTCAGAACCATTAGTGTACTAAGTGGGCTTTTGAAAAATAATAGTAGCCTCATTTCTTTGAAGCTGTGGTGTAAAAGTGTTTTTCAAAATATTTGGTAACTGATTATAATAGCTTTTGATATGTGCTCATAGAGATTTACAACTACGTGGAGCACGGCATATGCGACCGATAGGTACGCGGTCCGTCTGCCGAAAATATCTTTGGGGGTAAACATATAATGTGTCAAATATGTCTAAAAGGTGTGAGACATTCCTGGAGCTTAAAGTAACAACCAGCTACCGGTTATAAAAATTATAGGGATGGATCAGTTCAGGGCAAAAAAACCAATCATTTGAGCAAACATACACGGTCATGTAAGTACGCTAGTTGACATTATTTTCTAACCAGGCTAAAAATAATTAATATGCGTTTTATTAGATTAAAAAAATAATACTATATTTTTTTCAGACCGCAAAACTTTAATTTAAATATATATTCTTCTTAGACCGGCGAAATCGCTGTCTGTCATGTTTAACGCATATTAATGAGGTCTGACGTCAGAAAATTTGTAAGCAGCAGCTGACAGCAGCATAACCTCTCAAACTTTCAAACATGACATGACTTCTACTAGTTTACCTGAAAAATATGGTAATTATCATTATTCCATCGCCCGAGAATGTAAAACACATCCATAAAGATGCACCAGGGAAACTGTGGATAAGAGTAACCAGGGAAATAAATATACGCAACACTGTGTAATACTTTATATTTTACTGCAGATCCTATCGTCTTGTTTGAGTTGGACGTAACCTACGGCATTATCACCGTACGATTCCCTTGCAGATGTGTGGGAAGAAATACAATATTATATAAAATTATTCAGTAGTTATGACGCATGAACTAAGTTTTGAATTACTTTTGAAAAGGAAGATCCTGTAAGTGTATTTCTTATTCTTGCTTTTTATATCTATCATTGTACCAGACGCATTGTACTTACATAGAAGCCTTGATGTTCCTCAGCTCAGCAGAGCAGAAATCCGGTTCAAGGCAAGAAAAATCACCTACCATCAATGTTTCAATTTTTGGCAAATTTGGGCTTTCTACTCTTAGGGATCCAACGTCCATGATTAGTTTTTTAAAGAAGACAATGTTAGTCCACATGTGACATACGGATGACGTTTCTTTGTTTACAATTTGTATGACGTCACATCATGGCCGACCGTGATTTCACCGATATTCCTTTTAGAATACTGTGAGAAATAGTCATTCATTCTATGAAATTAGATATAAGGAAAGTAGCCTATTGATTAACGCGGTAGAATATGTTAATCAGCGGTTTGACAGATTACCGCAAAACATCGACACTTCGCGCTTAAACCATGCATACGGCTCTGCTCCTCATGCCTGACATTGTTCATCTCTGCCGCACCTCGAAAATGCATTTGGAACAATAAATACGTTCAAATTTCGGTAATATGGTTTGAAAGAAAACATTTCTACTTTTCGTAGACTCTATTAAGCAATAAAACTAAACAATAGGTTAAGTATATATGATACTTGTACATCGCCTACTTCTTGGGCTTGCTATTGGGAAACCCCGCCGGTCCGGGTGGCCCAGTCCCTTTAGGGGGCGTAGAGGGTCTGTTGCCGCCCATCGGGGATGCTGCCCCCACCGTGCCGCCCGGATATTGGTACTTTGTCTTTTTCTCAGCAGGCTTTAGGATCTGAAAGGAACACATCAGCGTCTCGTCAACGCTCATCATGCCTCCCGCGTTGTCGAATTCGCCGCAATAGTTTGGGGCTGAGAATAGAGTGACTAACTGACGTTTTGCGAAGAATTCGTAGCCATCTTCAACCACCTGAAAATCAGATAAAGTGGAAAACATTTGTAATAAAGAATGCTTCGTACTGGCACTTCACAACGTTACGGACGAAGCTCTTTATCTTTTTTATTACGAGGGATGTCTTTTAAGCTTTGCATATAGAAACATAGTAGGCCGCGCGGATCGAATGTCCGTACTGAATCTTAACCTCATCCTTTAGTAAACTTAAATTCAAAGTTTTACAATAATACGTACATTGTTCTCACTACAGTGAATTTTTAAGTGTCACGAGGTCATTAGAAAAATGGAACTCAACCGAGAACATTTTCGCGATATAATTTATTACAACTTTCAGAGACAATTATTGCAACAAGAATGCCTTGCTAAGCTACTGTCTGTTTCCGGCAACGAAGCGCCACATCAGTCGACAATTTCCCGTTGGTATGGAGAATTCAAACGTGGACGGGTGATCTTAGCGACGATCCCAGGGTGGGTGCACCAGAAACGGCAGTCACCCAGGAAAACGTCGATGCTGTGCGCAAACTCATCATTGAAGATAGACATGAGACATATCGCGAGATTCAGGCGTCCTTGAAGATCTCAAAGACTTCAATTCAAAAAATTTTACATGAAGAACTGGGAGTAAGAAAATTAGTGTATCGTTGGATACCCCACCTGTTGACTGAAGAGCAGAAAGCAGCCAGGGTTAATTGGTGTCAAAAAACGCTTAATCGTTTCAATTCCTGAAACTCAAAAAATGTGTACAGCATTGCTATTGGTGACGAATCATGGATTTACTGTTATGAACCAGAAAATAAATGACAGTCGGCTGTTTGGGTGTTCCAAGGTGAAGAAAAGCCATAAAAAGTCATCCGTTCTCGAAGTGTTTCGAAAAAGATGGTCGCAATTCCTCTTAATGAGCAAAGAACTGTTAGTGCGGACTGGTATTCCACCATTTGTTTACCAAAAGTCATCACCGAGCTTCGAAAAATGAACCCCGAAAGAAGAATCATCCTCCAGCAAGACAATGCAAGCTCGCACACAGCCCAAAAAACAAGGCAGTATTTAACGGAAGAAAACGTGAAATTATTGGACCATCCTCCATATAGTACCGATCGAAGTCGTAACGATTTCTTTACTTTCCCGAAGATTAAAAACAGACTGCGTGGTCAAAGGTTCCAGTCACCAGTAGAAGCAGTTGACGCATTCGAAAATGCCGCTTTGGATCTGCCAGCAAACGAGTGGAAGTGCTTCGAAAATTGGCTCAAGCGCATGCAGATGTGTATTAATCTTCGTGGAGAATACTTCGAAAAACAGTAAAGTCATTTAAAACTACCTACCGTGTTGTTTTATTTCCATATGCAAAACTTAAAAGACATCCCTCGTATAATAAGAATAGTATTTATTACCTAACAGAAATAACTCAATAAGGATACTTTTAAGATTTCTAAAAGTACAATTAATTAAATACAGGGTGTCCGCAAAGTTGGGGATTTTCTTTTCAGAAACAACTACCCTTGAAATAACAAAGGTAATGTGTAGTGAAACGAGGGGGACCAAGTAAAAAAAAAATAAAGGAAAAAGTACTCACTCTCCAGTTGACGAGAAGGGCTAAGTACGTCTATGCCCGAAATCATACCGCTCCAATAGAAAATGAAATCTACCGAGCAGACGCAGAAACCACATTGATTGTCTTACACTTAATGGCACATCTTCTAACAAGGAAGGCAAAATGTTGCGTAAAAAGTCTAGGAATTGCATCCCGTCCAATCGATTTGGGAGAATAAATGGTCCAATGAGCATACCGTTCACCATGCCAGCCCAAACATTCACCGAAAATGTTTGTTGAAAATGTGCCCGACGGACAGCGTGCGGATTTTCTACTGACCAAACATGAGTGTTGCGAAAGTTATTCACCCCATTACGCGTGAACGTAGATTCGTCTGTCACCAATATGCACTTCAAAAAGTCTGGATTACTGTCATGTTGATGCAACAACCACTCACAAAACCGCACTCTTGCTGGAAAATCGTCAGGTTGAAGGGCTTGTACACGTTGGACGTGAAACGGATACAGCCCGTCTTCACGCAGCGTTTGCCACACTTTAGTTTTTGATACTTGCACTTCTCTAGCCACGTCTCTAGTGCTTGTTGAGGGATTCTCGTCTACGCGATTACCTCGCGTGACCGTAACCGTCGGTTGAAGGTTGCATACTGACCTGACACACTGACCCCGACCCCCGACCCAGTTCTGTCGTTGAGCCAGTGACATTGTACCACTCCGTGATGTCGTGGCTACAGGGCGGTATTCAGATATTTTTGATGTTGCAGAGCCCTTTATCTCGGTTCCCTTAAGACATTGGTGTATATGGTACTAAAAAAAATTGCTTATGTTTTCAAGATCTACACGTCGTGTAAAGGAAAACCCCAACTTTGCGGACACCCTGTATAACCGATCAAAGGACAGAGTCTGGTGGAATCAACTTTGGGCAAAAACCTCGAATGGTCTATCTCTTCGAGGTTTTAATCTGATATTTAGATGTTAGTAATTACGAGTATGATGGGATATCTCGCGAATGTAATAAGAAAAAAATTCAAGCCTTAGTTGAGAGGACACGCGTTTGGCTGACACTCGGTTTGAACATACACAGAATAAATACTAGATAATCACATGGAAGCGCGTGGCAGAAAATATCTCAATATTACATAGGTATCATATCCTGCAACCCAAAGCTCATTATGCGCAACGAAAGCGCCGAGGAGGACTATCTCTGAAGCGGGGTGATTGATGTTCAGGAAGACGATCTTGACAGCGAGGTATTCATGTAGGTCATCCCAATTCTGGACCCAGAAAGAGCGATAGAGGCAGCAAATAAATTTGGGGGATGTTTTCGAGTTGAGGCGAAGCCACAGAATGTCCTTCCGGTCTGATACCAAAGAAACGTCTCTGGAGCGGACAAATGCTACAACTCCTCCGTTCTTTCTCAGATTGGAGTGCACCTCGTAATTTGGGAAGCTAAGATGGTTAGTCGGTGCACACTCTGAGACTTTTGTCTCCGCCAAGAAAATCATGCCGGGACGATTGTATTGCAAGTAGGGAAGAACAACATCAAAGCTGCTGTTAATGCTGCAGATGTTCGTGAAACAAATTTTATCTTCGATGTTGTTCATCGAGTCTACCCTCCACCCGGTCATTCCGAGAGTGGAGTGAGTTTACGTCCGCAATTCTTAGTACTCGATGGATCCATCATCATTAATATCTTTGTTGGGGAAGATGACCGACTGCGCAGTTTAGTTGCGGAAACATTTCAAAGACAGCCTGGGAAAAGCTTGCGGGTGGTACCTCCTCGGTCAACTGGTCCTTGTCTACCACCTTCTTTTTGCATGTTAATGATGTTAAATAGATCTAAAGTGACCCGGCAATCTGTACTGAGGTATTCCTTAACTCGTTTACAATTAATTGAACGGGAAGAAGTTGTATACTGGATACAACAACTTCTGGAACAAGCATTTGCCACGGCCCCGCTCAGTAGGGGTAATATTAGCATATCAATAAGGAATGCACTGTATATAACAGGAAAATAAGCACCTCTAGATCTGAATCTGATTTTCTCACTGAGACCAAATTCCTTTTAACATTCGGCCATGGTTTATGTAATAAATAAAACAGCTGACATCAAAAGACTGAAGCGCCACATGGCAGTATCTATAAAACGTCCCCTATCTCATATCCTACAAGTGCCGGTCCAGCACCCTTGCAAGAATTGCTCTGTTTTCTTCTTGCTCAAACATAGCATATCATAGAGTGTTTCAGTTTATTGTTGCATAACTTTAACATTCGATAGAACTTTTAAAATTAATGCATAAAGTCTATATAAACATGGGTCGAAAAATGCGTGGCTTCCGAATTACAGGGTGTTTAAATTTACTTTTTAAAATAGTTTTTTTTTAAATATTACGAACAATATTTGATGTATAACAGTGAACATTGGTTTTTTGGTACGACAAAACGAACTATGGGCATAGTTTTACTGTAGCCGCTAGAGGGCGCTCTCTACTGTACCTGCAGTGTATTAAAATGACCGAAGATTTTTTCTTAGTGCAATTTTTTACTTTTTGAATAAAAAAACTGATTCTTCGCACTTTTCTGCATAAAAAAGCTCTCCTGTGAGTTTTCGTTATAGTTAGCCGTTTTTGAGATATTTCGATTTTTAGGGTTCGATGCATTTTTAATTATTTATGGGAATATAAAATTTTTTGATACATTTTCGATTTGAGCATTACAAGTAATTAAAATGTTCGTTTAGACTGTGTTTTTAAACACAGCAATAATTCCTGACTCCAAATAAACACAGAAAAAGAAATATTAATTTGTTTAATTTTCCAATATTATTTTTAACAAATTAAATAAATTATTTATAACTAAAATGCTATTGGATAGTTAGGACAAACATACAAAATCTAAACTAGTTGCTCGAAATGTAAACTCAATTGTTCAATACACAATTCACATCTAGGAACGATCGAACGTGGTATAGCATCATTCAAATAAGGCATTATTTCATCACATGCATTGCTGATTCTGTCTATTAGCATATCTTTTGTCGTTACGGGAGTCTGGTACACTTTTGCTTTTAGAAATCCCCACACAAAGAAATCTAATGGATTTAGGTCAGGGGATCGTGGAGGCCAGGCGACTGGCTGGCACACTAAATTCATGCTGAAAATTTCTTTTCCGAACTCCATGCGGATTTTCATGCGACCAAATATGTTGATTATGAAAATTTACCACTCCACGTCTAGTGAAGCATGACTCATCGGTCCATAAAACGTTACTTAAAAACTCCCTATTATTATCAGTTCTATCATGAATCCACTGACAAAATGTGATTCTTCGTTCTCCGTCCCCTGGCCGTAGTCCTTGCACAGGTTGCAAATGGTAAGGACGTCTATGGTCATTTCTAAGAACACGGTGAACATGGCTTGCTGAAATTCCCAAGGCACCAGAAACCTAACACTTGTGGTCGGATCTCTATCAAACTCACGCTGAATCATACGAGTAAATCTGCGCTGACGAACATTTATGTTTTGATCCCTTTGGAGATTTACAAAACCATTTTCAATTATTTGGCGATGCACTCTTACAAATACTGAGCGAGTTGGATCTCGTCTGTTTGGAAATCTTGGTGCGTATTCTCTGGCTGCTTCTGCTGCGTTTCGCGTTTCCATTTACAAAGCCATACACAAAATGAATATCCGCTAACCCTTGATTGGAGAATAAAAATGGCATTTTTATAAAACTTAAAAAAAAAAACAGGTAAAAGAAACTATATTTCGTGCATTCACAATTGCAAAAAAACGTTTCAGGTTTCAACAGACAACAAAACTAACTGTCAACTAATTGACGTTTAACCTTATTCTGCTTTCAACTTCAAAAATATTTGCAGGCACAGCTTACTTCTAAAAATTATCGAGATACTGTCTTTTTAACGTTATTTTATCATAAATAATAAAAAATGCATCCAAAAAGCAAAAAATTGCACTAAGAAAATTTTTTCGGTCATTTTAATACACTACAGGTACAGTAGAGAGCGCCCTCTACCGGCTACAGTAAGACTATATCCATGGTTCTTTTTGTCGTACCAAAAAACCCTTGTATACCAATTTTCACTGTTATACATCAATTATTGTTCGAAATATTTAAAAAAAAACTATTTTAGAAAGTAAATTTAAATACCCTGTATTTCGGAAGTCACGCATTTTTCGACCCATGTTTATATAGACTTTATGCATTAATTTTAAAAGTTCTATCGAATCTTAAAGTTATGCAACGATAAACTGAAACACCCTGTATACACACAAGTTGGCGCCAAGGTTGATTCCAATGCGTTGGCCATATGTCTGAACGCGACATATTGAGACTACTCTTCTCAACCGAAGTGTCTTTCTGTTTTGTGTAATCTAGGCTTATGGCTGGCGTCGTTGTCGTCATTTGGTTTGTAGTGTATACTGCTGGATTCCTTCGTATTATCATGCCTCGTTAAACTGCGAGCCTCTCAGCTACCTTCTTCTTATCTTGAACTGCTACTCGTTTTGTACAAATATCCTTACGACTCATCTGGCGGTAATTTTTCCCTGCTGCCTCAATTATCCTCAGGGAAATTCTGCCAAACCAAGAGAGTTGAAAATGTTCAAGTATAACGAGGGACTCTTTTTTTTTAATACAGAATAATTAGATGTGCTAAATTTGCATTTTGCAATAAAAAGTAGCTCTCAGAATTCAGTCGGAAATAATTCTAATTTGAATACAGCTCATTAGAAAATAGCTTTAGAGGAAAATATTTTTATATGATGTTTTTGCACAGTTCCAGAGGATATTTTAGCCTGGTGAACTTGGATAAAGAATGTACTCACAAAAACTTATAATCCTCCATGCCTGTCTGGCCAATAAAACCACATGTATTGATAGATCTTTTTTACTGTAGTAATCGATGCAATACCAAAGGTGAACCTCTTTAGTATAATGACAATAAGGACTTTTGCGTTATAAATAATAATTTTAAGTTTTCTCATTTTCTGTTAAAAAACCTCGACGAGCCCGAAAAAAGCTGTTAAATGAAGTTAATTAATTGAACCGCTACAAAATTTGTTATTTGATTTATTTTGTGACAATAATATAACAGTAATCGCTATATACAGGGAAAACTAAATTTTGTTACACCAGAAAAATGTTCACACACGCTTCCACGAAAAGAAGGTCTGTTCAAACATTTAATTTAGTATTTTGTTTTAATTTTGATTAGAATTATTTATTTCAATTTTTATGCGACTTAGTGTTTTAATTTATTTTAGAATTATCTATGATTTCCACCGATGGCGATAAAATTAACACATCCTGAGTTTACATGCGATAGCGACCGGTGAAGACCATTTCGAACCCTGCCATGAAATGTATGAGATGCGGTGTTGCCAAGCGAACCAATGAAGCAATGTTGCAGAATCTGTGGCAATTCTGACCTTTCATTTCGACCTAAAATGGAGCGCCGCTAGGACCAATTTGGAATCATTCCTAAACAGATTCTTCACAATTCAAAAATGTGTACGCTCAAAATAAAACCATTATTTTGGCGTAGGGAATAAACTAACGTATATTTTCAACATGCATCTTGATTCAAGACTTTTTCTAGCATATTATGTGTCTATACACACTTCTCTCTAGTACACATTGAACACAAGCCATCAGGTAAATTTGGTTCACAGTGTAAATATGCTTCTTCCCTGCTATAGAATATACCGAATATCATGGGTGCCCGCAGAAATACTTCCCAGTAGAGCAGAGTACGACCATCAGCAGGAGATAACTTTTTCAAAGGGGGGGAGGAGAATACTCTGGCACTATCCTGCGGGCGCCCATGCCCAGTGCAATTGGCTACTTTAACGTAGTTTCCGAAGAAAACAATATACACCGAGTTGGAGGAACTGGTAGGTAAATCTAGGTAAAAGTATGCACTAAATATACTGACTAGCACTGACTTGTAAACATATAGACTTTGCTACTTCTAACATATTCGAATTTGTTCCGTTAGCATTAGCATGAATACCAAAGCTTGATGTCAACATTTGATATTGCCATATCTTTTTGTATTTATATGGTGTCCCAATGAAAATGGAAAGTAGTTTTATGAGCAAACTGGAAAAGATATCAAAAATCTGTCTTCGTGGCAACATTGGTACGTTACTAGTGCATATTTTAAAATAATTTTAATGTATTCAGGGTGTGCCATAGTGAAAATGTAGTTCTTTTAATAGAAGACCCTATATTTTATTGCATATGTGGACAGAGAAAACAGGAAGTTTGATATGATATAACATTTGGTTTCTATCGTCAATTGTTTAGATATTTAGCGAAATATCTGAAAAAATGACGGCTCGCAGCTCCACCATTTTTGAAGATATTTAGATAAATTTTTGTTCAAAAATTTTTATCATCATCGATTTTTGGCTGATCTGGAAGAAATAAATATATTTCTGTTTATTGTTCCATTTGCAGTTTTTGAGAAAAGGTACATTTTCCGTTTTGATACCCTGCAAAAATTGAGAAAAATTTTAATACTTCTTCCGAATCAACTTCAAATCGATGATAATATAATTTTTGTGGTCTAAGATTTATCTGAATATCTTCAAAAATGGCGTAGCAGCGAGCTGTCAAAGCCGGTCATTTTTTTAGATGTTTGACCAAATATCTATACAATTGACAATAGAAACCATATCAAGCTTCTTATTTTTAGAAGCTTTATTCAAATATGCAATAAAATAAAGGGTGTTCTATTAAAAAAAAATATACGTTTGCTATGGAACGATTGTTATGGAAGAATTTGTATATACTAAGTGACACATAAATCCGAACACCCAGTTTAAATGGTTTTATTTTAATAAAATTTTGTATAAGTACTTAATGAAGCATAATAAGTAAATGATAAAAATTTCAAAATGATTGCACTTTGACCTTTAATAATGTGTGGATGCACCCTGATGTGCTACGCATTCTCCAACGCGCCTAGGCATGCTGCTGATCAGGTGGTCAATGTCCTCCTGTGGTATCTCATTCCAGGCAACCACCAACTCCTCTCGAAGTGCTTCTAGAGTCTGAGGAGGACGTTGCAAATTGAGCAATCTCCTACCCATCATATCCCACACGTGCTCAATTGGGGATAAGTCGGGAGATCTTGGTGGCCATGGTAACAATGTGATATCATTATGTTGAAAGAAGTCTATTGTGACTCTTGCAACATGTGGTCGGGCATTATCTTGTTGGAAAGTTGGATCTGCCAGGGTATCAAGATAGGGTAAAAGATGGGGTTCTAGAACTTCGTGGATATAACGCTGCGCGTTCATGTTACCTCTGATGAAGATTAAAGGTGACCTGGAACCATAAGCTATAGCACCCCAGACCATAACTCCAACAGTGTGATGAACATGTCTTTCAACAAAAAACTGTGGATTCCTCCTTTCACCACGTTGCCTTCTAACCCTGGCACGACGATCGTGCATGCCTAAACAAAATCGAGACTCGTCACTAAAGACAATACTGTTCCATTCCTGATCCCAGAGTGACCGTTGTCTGCACCAGTCAAGGCGATTACGTCGGTGTTCTCGAGTTAAAGGGAGGACCCAGTGTGGCCGGTATGAAAACAAGCCAAAACTTTTCATTCGTCGGTAAACACTTCGCATGCGAATAGGTCTTCCGTGTTCTGCAAACCATTCATTTGCAATGGACCTGGTAGTGGAGAAACGGTCCCTTAAGGCCAATAATCCTAGGCGGCGATATTCACGGTCTGTTGTTCTACGGCGGCGTCCAGTGCCCCTTGCTCTTTGCGTACGGCCTTCTCGAAGCCATGCCTGACAACACCTGACCACAGTGTCTACACTTCTTTGCACACTAAGTGCAATTGCCCGAAAAGAAAGTCCAGCTTCCCGAAGTCCCACTATACGGCCCCTATCAAACTCACTAAATTGACGAAATCGTACAGGTCTCCGTACACTAGGCATCGTAACCGATCGTAAAGGATGTCAAGAACCAAAATCCGCCAACGTTGATTCTTTACTGTGGCTGAAATATTCATTTTTACAGCGTTAGTGAATTAAAAAAAAAGCAGTATAAAAACCGGAATGTCCAACTGATGAGGCTGAAAATTTTTTCACTTGTTATTTACAGTAAGATAAATACATTCACCAACTTTTATTAAAATAAAACCATTTAAACTGGGTGTTCGGATTTATATGTCACTTAGTATATATTAAAATAATTCTAAATATGTACTAGAAACGTATCAATCTTGTCACGATAACAGATTTTTTTATATCTTTGCCAGTTTGCTCGTAAAACTACTTTCCTTTTTCGTTGGGACACCCTGTATATTGGGGAATCATATCAAGTACATTCCTGCATAAAGGAGTAGTCTTGTTTGCAAAATCAGCTCCATAAACCTGTATACACACAAATATATTCCCGTGGGAATACTCCATCGTCCCAATTTTCACTCCAGACTCGATTCCGACTAAAGCACATCGCTATCTGTTGCAAACAAGATGCTGGAGAATAGCTGAGTTACTAATTACTGAACGACGATATTAACGGAAAGTTTGAGAAGTGTGAGCTAAAACTATTATGAACTTTGTTATGAATACTGTCCCTCAGTATTATGGATTATGTACCAGGCAGAAGTTTGATATAAACCGAATGCATTAAGTACATTCAAGATTAACGATATATAGTGGAGGAAGTCCCAAAGAGGTGCTCGATAATTAAGGTGGGCATTGTTTGTGAGCGAGAGTAATCAAAGGCGTAGGTAGCGCTACCTTGCCTGGTGGAGGATTGGCAATATTTATGAAAAATACTAAGGTTAGGGATGCCTACTTTTTTGAGAAATCCGAGTACCGGCTGCGTGACTAATTGCGAATACTGAAGTGATTAGTGCTGGTTCATTGCGGTTACTATCAGTACTATTGAGAATATATTTGAGCTTTTGGAATGTCTTTATATGCTGAAGAAAAATAGGCGTTAGAGACACCATTTTCAAAGCAGATTTTCTAATTTATTTTTGTCAATTTGCCACTGTCTCATAGATGGCGCTAGCATCCCGATCTTCTGAACATCAGAATACAGTATATGGTTGGCTATTTTCAGTATGAATACGTGGATCAATACTATTAAGTTCTGTTAGAACAGTTGTCACCAACCTGGCAGTGATCGTGTCCAAGATCCCGCTAAACAAATTCCGTTTATTCTGCAGCGCTATATAGACGGAATTTACACGGCCGTATCCCAGATACAATCACCAACCACTGTACGAACAAACCACTAGTCAATATACTTTCTCATTTTCAACAATTGGCCTCCAAAATGAACAGATTTCTACGTCATAGTATCGATAACAATGTGCAGTATTTCGTATATGTATATCGCACGGACCACTAACATCCCTAATGGCTATCACGCGAGCTCCAAAAAAGGTATGGTAGAGTTGTGGAAACTCTCAATCTAAGATACCTTCAGGGTCCTATACAGTAGAATTATTGATACTAAGAAAAGAACTATGAACAGCAGCTGGGTTTTCGACTCGGCACTGATGAATCAGGACACGCATACAAAAACTGGAGAGTGTATAGAGTCACCTACTTGGAGTGCAGTTTTTGAAGTAGAGAGTAGAATTCAAACATAAAGTTAATTTTGTGTTATAGAGATATACTAAGTGACATATAAATCCGAACACCCAGTTTAAATGGTTTTATTTTAATAAAATTTTGTATAAGTACTTAATGAAGCATAATAAGTAAATGATAAAAATTTCAAAATGATTGCACTGCTTTAAAGCCCTTTGACCTTTAATGTGTGGATGCACCCTGATGTGCTACGCATTCTCCAACGCGCCTAGGCATGCTTCTGATCAGGTGGTCAATATCCTCCTGTGGTATCTCATTCCAGGCAACCACCAACTCCTCTCGAAGTGCTTCTAGAGTCTGAGGAGGACGTTGCAAATTGAGCAATCTCCTACCCATCATATCCCACACGTGCTCAATTGGGGATAAGTCGGGGGATCTTGGTGGCCATGGTAACAATGTGACATAATTATGTTGAAAGAAGACTATTGTGAGTCTTGCAACATGTGGTCGGGCATTATCTTGTTGGAAAGTTGGATCTGCCAGGGTGTCAAGATAGGGTAAAAGATGGGGTTCTAGAACCACGTGGATATAACGCTGCGCGTTTATGTTACCTCTGATGAAGATTAAAGGTGACCTGGAACCATAAGCTATAGCACCCCAAACCGTAACTCCAACAGTGTGATGAACATGTCTTTCAACAAAAAACTGTGGATTCCTCCTTTCACCACGTCGCCTTCTAACCCTGGCACGACCATCGTGCATGCCTAAACAAAATCGAGACTCGTCACTAAAGACAATACTGTTCCATTCCTGATCCCAGAGTGACCGTTGTCTGCACCACTCAAGGCGATTACGTCGGTGTTCTCGAGTTAAAGGGAGGACCCAGTGTAGCCGGTATGAAAACAAGCCAAAACTTCTCATTCGTCGGTAAACACTTCGCATGCCAATAGGTCTTCCGTGTTCTGCAAACCATTCATTTGCAATGAACCTGGTAGTGGAGAAACGGTCCCTTAAGGCCAATAATCTTAGGCGGCGATCTTCACGGTCTGTTGTTCTACGGCGGCGTCCAGTGCCCCTTGCTCTTTGCGTACGGCCTTCTCGAAGCCATGCCTGACAACACCTAACCACAGTGTCTACACTTCTTTGCACTCTAACTGCAATTGCCCGAAAAGAAAGTCCAGCTTCCAGAAGTCCCACTATACGGCCCCTATCAAACTCACTAAGTTGACGAAATCGTACAGGTCTCCGTACTCTAGGCATCGTAACCGATCGTAAAGGATGTCAAGAACCAAAATCCGCCAACGTTGATTCTTTACTGCGGCTGAAATAATCATTTTTAGAGCGTTAGTGAATTAAAAAAAAAAACAGTATAAAAACCGGAATGTCCAACTGATAAGGCTGAAAATTTTTAAGATAAATACATTCACCAACTTTTATTAAAATAAAACCATTTAAACTGGGTGTTCGGATTTATATGTCACTTAGTATATAAAAGCCTGGGAACGTTTACTATTTTGTCGGAAGTAATGCATCTCCAAACCTATATGATAACTAGAAAAAGCTTTGAATGGTCGTGAAACTATGCTCACATTCTTTTAGTTATCTACTACTCCTTCTATTCCAACCATTGACAACTTGGTTCACCAAGCCCTTTCCAAAGGGCTGTAGCAAATAGGATTGCGAAGTGCGTTACATATGGACTCAATACCTGTAACGGAAACCATTAAAATACCCGACTGTAGTTATAGTTGTACTATCAAGATGAATCTGAGGACACCTCAACTGTCAAAATCCATGAAGCAGTTTGGGATCCGTGAAATAAAAATTTCAAAGTTACAATTTTCCATTAAAGTCCGCCATTTTGGTTTTATAAAATTCCCAGCGTCACCCACGCTACCAAGATGGTGTGAAGTAGACTTTTTCTATACTTTCCACGCCCTAAAAGCAACTTCTAGTACAATTTTCCTTGTAATACAATAGCATAAAGAAGACGAAGCTATTGTCAGAACCATTAGTGTACTAAGTGGGCTTTTGAAAAATAATAGTAGCTTCATTTCTTTGAAGCTGTGGTGTAAAAGTGTTTTTCAAAATATTTGGTAACTGATTATAATAGCTTTTGATATGTGCTCATAGAGATTTACAACTACCTGGAGCATGGCATATGCGAGCGATAGGTACGCGGTCCGTCTGCCGAAAATATCTTTGAGGGTAAACATATAATGTGACAAATATGTCTAAAAGGTGTGAGACATTACTGGGGCTTAAAGTAACAACCAGCTCCCGGTTATAAAAATTATAGGGATGGATCAGTTCAGGGCAAACAAACCAATCATTTGAGCAAACATACACGGTCATGTAAGTAGGCTAGTTGACACTATTTTCTTACCAGGTTAAAAATAATTAATATGCGCTTTATTAGATTAAAAAAATAATACTATATTTTTTTCAGACCGCAAAACTTTAATTGAAATATATATTCTTCTTAGACTGACGAAATCGCTGTATGTCATGTTTAACGCATATTAATGAGGTCTGAAGTCAGAAAATTTGTAAGCAGCAGCTGACAGCAGCATAACCTCTCAAACTTTCAAACATATAAACATGACTTCTACCTACTAGTTTACCTGAAAAATATAGTAATTATCATTATTCCATCGCCCGAGAATGTAAAACACATCCATAAAGATGCACCAGGAAAACTGTAGATAAGAGTAACCAGGGAAATAAATATACACAACACTGTGTAACACTTTATATTTTACTGCAGATCCTATCGTCTGGTTTGAGTTTTGAATTACTTCTGAAAAGGAAGATCCTGTAAGTTTATTTCTTATTCTTTCTTTTTATATCTATCATTGTACCAGACGCATTGTACTTACATAGAAGCCTTGATGTTCCTCAGCTCAGCAGAGCAGAAATCCGGGTTCAAGGCAAGAAAATCACCTACCATCAATGTGTCAATTTTTGGCAAATTTGTGCTTTCTGCTCTTAGGGATCCAACGTCCATGATTAGTTTTTCAAAGAAGACAATGTTAGTCCACATGTGACATACGGATGACGTTTCTTTGCTTACAATTTGTATGACGTCACATCATGGCCGACCGTGATTTCACCGACATGATTCGTTTTCAAATACTGTGAGAAATAGTCATTCATTCTATGAAATTAGATATAAGGAAAGTAGCCTATTGATTAACGTGGTAGAGTATGTTAATCAGGGGTTTGACACATTACCGCAAAACACCGACACTTCGCGCTTAAACCATGCATACGGCTCTGCTCCTCATGCCTGACATATTGTTCGTCTCTGCCGCACCTCGAAAATGAATTTGGTATAATAAATAAGTTCAAACTTCGCAAATATGGTTTGAAAGAAAACATTTCCACTTTTCGTAGACTCTATTAAACAATAAAACTAAACAATAGGTTAAGTATATATGATACTTGTACATCGCCTACTTCTTGGGCTTGCTATTGGGAAACCCCGCCGGTCCGGGTGGCCCAGCCCCTTTAGGGGGCGTAGAGGGTCTGTTGCCGCCCATCGGGGATGCTGCCCCTACCGTGCCACCCGGATATTGGTACTTTGTCTTTTTCTCAGCAGGCTTTAGGATCTGAAAGGAACACATCAGCGTCTCGTCAACGCTCATCATGCCTCCCGCGTTGTCGAATTCGCCGCAATAGTTTGGGGCTGAGAATAGAGTGACTAACTGACGTTTTGCGAAGAATTCGTAGCCATCTTCAACCACCTGAAAATCAGATAAAGTGGAAAACATTTGTAATGAAGAATGCTTCGTACTGGCACTTCACAACGTTACGGACGAAGCTCTTTATCTTTTTTATTACGAGGGATGTCTTTTAAGTTGCATATAGAAACATAGTAGGCCGCGCGGATCGAATGTCAGTACTGAATCTTAACCTAATCCTTTAGTAAACTTAAATTCAAAGTTTTACAATAATACGTACAGTGTTCTCACTACAGTGAATTTTTAAGTGTCACGAGGTCATTAGAAAAATGGAACTCAACCGAGAACATTTTCGCACCATAATTTATTACAACTTTCAGAGACATTTATCGCAACAAGAATGCCTTGCTAAGTTACTGTCTGTTTCCGGCAACGAAGCGCCACATCAGCCGACAATTTCCCGTTGGTATGGGGAATTCAAACAAACGTGGACGGGTGATCTTAGCGACGATCCCAGGGTGGGTGCACCAAAAACGGCAGTCACCCAGGAAAACGTCGATGCTGTGCGCAAACTCATCATTGAAGATAGACGTGTGACATATCGCGAGATTGAGGCGTTCTTGAAGATCTCAAAGACTTCAATTCAAAAAATTTTACATGAAGAACTAGGAGTAAGAAAATTAGTTTCTCGTTGGATAACCCACCTGTTGACTGAAGAGCAGAAAGCAGCCAGGGTTAATTGGTTTCAAAAAACACTTGACCGTTTCAAATCTGGTAACTCAAAAAATGTGTACAGCATTGCTATTGGTGACGATTCATGGATTTACTGTTATGAACCAGAAAATAAACGACAGTCGGCTGTTTGGGTGTTCCAAGGTGAAGAAAAGCCAACAAAAGTCATCCGTTCTCGAAGTGTTTCGAAAAAGATGGTCGCAACATTTGTGTCAAAAGCGGGTCATATTACACCAATTCCTCTTAATGCGCAAATAACTGTCACTGCGGATTGGTATTCCACCATTTGTTTGCCAAAAGTCATCACCGATCTTCGAAAAATCAACCCCGAAAAAAGAATCATCCTCTACCAAGACAATGCAAGCTCGCACACAGCCCAAGAAACAAGGCAGTATTTAATGGGAGAAAACGTGGAATTATTGGACCATCCTCCATATAGTTCCGATCTAAGTCCTAACAATTTCTTTACTTTCCCGAAAATTAGAAGCAGACTGCGTGGTCAAAGGTTCCAGTCACCAGAAGAAGCAGTTGACGCATTCAAAAATGCCACTTTGGATCTGCCAGCAAACAAGTGGAATAAGTGCTTCGAAAATTGGTTCAAGCGCATGCAGATGTGTATTAATCTTCGTGGAGAATACTTCGAAAAACAATAAAGTCATTTAAAACTACCTACTGTGTTGTTTTATTTCCATATGCAAAACTTAAAAGACGTCCCTCTTATAATAATAATAGTATTTATTACCTAACAGAAATGATCCATTTGCAAGGCAATATATAACTAATTAATGACATAACTCAATAAGGATACTTTTAAGATTTCTAAAAGTATAATTAATTAAATATACCACACAAATTACATGTTTTATTAAAGTTTGAGTACATTACTCTAACACATGACTTTAATAGCAAGTTCGTATTTGCACGGATACAAAATAATAGCTGATCTTACAAAGAACCAAATCTAGGAATAGAAAACTTTATTTGGGATAACATTTCAGACGAATCTATTAAGCTCAGAAGCTTATACAGACAAATAATTGATGTTTACGTCGGTTCTTCAGTGAGGCCAAACCAAATATATTTAATACAACTTCGTAGTTACATCGTTAAAAACTTTTTCTGGACATAATGAATCCTGTTTATGTAGCATAGGTAGTAAGAAGTCCAAACTATTGATGCATATGACAGCTTGATATCAAATAGGCAAAGTATAAAGTTTTCCAGGCATCAGTATCAAATGTAAGTTTAAAATTTCTAACTATAAAACCAAAAGACCCGCTTGCATCAGAAATAATTTGTGATATGTGATGATAAGAACTCAGTCTACTATCAAATGTTACACCCAAGTCGCAAATGGTATCACATAGTTCAAGACTTAACATCACTTAAAGTGTAATTACATACAGTATCATTCTGATTACGTGTATATGTTACAGTTTTGCATTTAATGACATTAAATTGAAGCCTATCATACTGCAGCATCTCTGAAGGTTATTGAGCTAAGATTGTAGATGTTTATCATCAATGTTGATAATTTAAGAAAATACTTTTAAGTCGTCAGCGAACAGCAAATTACCACATTCAAGTTCACCACAGAAATCATTGATAAACAGTAGAAACAGAAGAGAACCCAAGTGAAGTGGCCAAACGCTGTTGAGACTTGTATCCATTATAAGTTTCGTACAAGCGACGATCAGTTAGATAAGACGGGAATAGTTTTATGGATTGATTAGTGAAGCCAAAGCTGTACAACTTTTTTATGAGAACCGCATGATCCAGTCCATCAAAAGCTTTTGCAATATCTGCATATGTGACATCTAGTTGACCTTGATTATCTAACGTATTACAAGCTAACTTGGTAAATATTGTGGAGTTGGTTAGTAGTAGTAGTAGTAGTAGTAGATCTCGTATTCATAAGATCGTGTTGAGCTGCAGAAATGTGCATATGTGTAAATACACAAAATTTCCTTCAAAAGCTTAGTTAAAACTGTTGAGGATACAGATATTCCCGATAATTGATAGAAAGATTGAAAATGATCCTCAACGGTTTGGTTAATGCTGGTGAGTTTCTATGCCTCTTATCTGCACCCTTGGTATATAAGAAATACAAATCAAATGGCTATAGCGGTCAAATGCAAAATTTGTTTGCGTAGCCAATACTCCGAGAAGCCGCATTGCCTATTGTCAATATAAAATACTAGCATTATTAATGATATATGATTTACCGACCTGATGTGCTCTACAAATAAGGTCCAAGTCGTGTCGGTTTAAGAATTTGCTAACGACATCCGCTCCAAATGTAAAAGATACCCCTCTGTCATTCTCGCCCCAACCTTGTACATCCTTATCAGGGTCTGACCACAAAAGGTCACAGAGTAAACCTAAAAATTCCCATCATATATTAGTGGTTGCAAATTCGATACTATCATTTTCACGAGTATCCATTATGGCAGAATATAAGCTGATTATCTAGTAGTATTTGAAAATTCCCCATATCGACAAGTGACACATAATTCTGACGGATCCGTCAGTGCCAGGTATACAGAGCCGTATTTTGTACGTCAAAGACCCATTTTGTACTTGCTAACTTTTATTTAGGAAAGTTCACTTCCATATAAAAAAAAACGCTACAAGCAAGTTTTACTCGAATTACACCCAATTCATAATTGCCAACGTTGCAGACAAAGACTTGCTGATCAGCTATTCACCTTAGTAGACACGTGATGGATACTCGTGAAATACGGCTTAGGTTATAAATACAACTTTGGGCATTCGGAAGAGGTAACAAGTTACGTCTAGATGTTGCTTCAAACTTCTTCTTAGATAGGTGTTGAATCAATATAGTTTTCTATTGAAAAGCAGATATATCTTTACATGGCCTTCTTGTAGATGTTTCTTACCAGAATCGGGTACGTCCGTGGGTCTCATTATCCTCCTAATCTGTTCCATACCTTGCAGGTCGGGGCTAAGTCCACCATGACAACAGAATATCTTCTCGTCTATTATAGCTGTTACCGGTAAGCAATTGAAGCAATCCGTAAACGTCTTCCACAGTTTTATGTTAAACCTTGGTACGCAAAAAATTAAACTGTAATTCTAAAGATGGGCATGGAAAATGAAGGTAAATAATCAGTATTTCTAAAGTGTGTATCAAATTACATACTAAGGTCCTGAAGCAAGTGATGGCAATACTGTAACTAGCGGGTACAAAGTACCCGGTACTTGAAGTATGCGGTACTGGGGATTGAATCCTCCCGGTATTTTTATCTTACATTATTTTCTTAATCGGTGTATCGCGATGTCGACATCGGTCAGACGTGACAGCGCGGTCAGAGCATATGTGGCGCGGAAATATACAGGGTGTACACGTTATGGTAGTCATTATTGAAATGGGTAATAGGGGGGTCCAAACAAGTCAAAAAGTTCATATGACCCATGGTCCAAAAGTCAATAGATTTTTGTCTAAATGGCTTTATAGTTTACAACTTTAGGTGCTTCATATCGACCACAATCACCACAATCTTACTAATTTTTATAATCTAATCTAGAACGGTTTTAAATTGGGTAATTAACAAATAAATGGCATTAATTTTTTCTAAGTTAAGACAAAATTTGTAGTCAGTAAGTTTCATTAAATTTAATATATAAAACACACATGACAACAGCGCGTCGGTCATCATCACTCTTATCGAACCTGCAATCGATCGCAAACGGTAACAGTGGTTAGTATGTTGTTTTATTTTTGTTCGTGTACGTCGAAAAAATTTTTAATGCGGCTGAAATAATAAATGGACAACTTCGAGGACCTAGAGTAAGAAGAAACTGGGTTCGTCGTAATGAAGCTTGTTTGGACAGTGGAGGACGACATTTTGAACACCTTCTTTAAATACAAAAAAAGTGCCGTGTGGGTTTTAAAAAGAAAAACAATGTATGTATCAAAATTGTGTTCCCTATTTATAAGTGGATTTTTTTAATACGTTCAACAAACTTTCACACACCAGGTTAAGCGCTGAGACAGTTAGTGGTAAGTCCGTTTTTTTAATTGTTTGCATTTTACAAGTACATTATCAAATAATGAAATAATACCTAAGAGCCAAAAATAACAAACTCGATCTTTATTTACACTGCGTTCCGTCGTAATTTGCGGCGTTGTCAGATTTCATTTTACTTTAAAGTCGCTTTTCTCAAAAAAAAAGCCGTTTTGACCCCAATGTTATATGAAACTTTTTGCTTCTTTTAAACCCTCTATCACCCTTTTAAATAATGACTATCATAACGTTTACACCATGTATATCATATCATACCAGAACAACAGAACACTAACCAAAGCCGGCGGCACGACGCCGGGAGCAGCAGCTGCGGCCGATAGGTACACGTTTCGAAATTGAGATAAGCCCCCACCCCATTCCAAAACAACCCTCACACCCAAGTTTTTTGCCTCCAAGACTTTTTCAAAATTGATCAGGATCTTCTGAAACGCCAGTAAATGAAGCAGAAAGAATTTTTTCGTTTTAAGCCGTTTTCTCTGCCACCACTAAACCGATTTTCAAAAACTACAAAGCTTTTCCGTCCTTGGCACAGTAGCAAGATTGTGTAAAAACAAACCGACAGATGTACATTTTACATGTCATATAACATTCAAAAAATATAATATCTCGTTTTCCAACATTTCCTCGTGTTCATGCAAGTTCTAAAACATACTTTATTATTTTGAACTCAAAAGCCATACAAATTCAAAACCTTTGGCACGTGCGCATACAAGTCAAACATGCGCACAAGAAGAAGAAGATTTCGAGAAGCTAATTCGTAAAGATCGGAAAAGGCAACGGTCGTCTTCAAAAACCTCGACAAAAGAATCCTAGTTAAACCGGGTACAATATATTCGCTAAGGCAAGTGTGGTGAACCTAAGAAGAAGCTGTGAAGAGAGAGGAGCTCCTCCAGACCAGGCGACAGGAACACCCAGGTACGGGCCAATCCTACATTGTCTTTGTATGGCTCGGATGTCGATTACCTTATTACCTTAATTATATCTGAACGCGCTTACGGTCCCGCGGCTCTCCACGATTTAGAATCAACTTTGCAATAACACCTCGATTACAATACTTTCCTCACAGTAGGCGTGGGAAGTGAAACGTTTGGGCAAGCGCAAGGTTTTTCCAACTTATCAAAGGAAAAACAGACTTAATGTGCATTTTGGAAAAGAACTCTTTGGTCAGAAAGTTTCGATGCAGATCATGCGCATTTAATCATTTTCTGAAAAACTGAATCTTTTAGTGAAATTCTTGATTTGCCGGTGAAGGTAAACATCGTATGGTTGACAAATTTTAACACTACATGTTGTCAATCCTTACATTCAAGCATTTTTGGAACTTGGACAAATTGTGAGACTGATCCTTGCGAGAGGAATATCATGCTAATTTTTAAGCTGTGCACCTGAGCACTTTAGGAATATAATGGGTGATTTTTTTGCTACTATCTTTTTGGCAATACTGTTTTTGACAGATGACGCGTGAATCGTGTCTTGTGTCATTGTCAAACTTGTTCAGTTTGGTCTATAATTTAACCATGAATCGACTTACGAACGAACAACGCTTGCAAATTATTGAATTTTACTATCAAAATTCATGCTCGGTTAAGAGAGTGCATCGAGCACTGCTTCCAATTTATGGGCAATTTGGTCGACCTACTGAGGGAGCTATTCGGAAGCTTGTGACTAAATTTCGAACCCAGTTTACATTATTGGACATTAAACCACCAACACGCAGACGTAGAGTGAGGACTGAAGAAAATATTGCGGCTGTATCCGCCAGTGTTAGTGACGACCGTGAAATGTCGATTCGCCGCCGCTCGCAGCAATTGGGCCTCTGTTACTCCACTACGTGGAAAATTTGGGTGTAAAACCTTATAAGATACAGCTGGTGCAAGAATTGCAGCCACACGACCTCCCACAACGTTTCCAATTTGGTGAATGGGAACTGGCAAAGATGGAGGAAGATCCACATTTTTATCGAAAAATTGTGTTCAGCGACGAAGCTGATTTCAGGTTGAATGGGTACGTTAACAAGCAAAATTGCCGCATCTGGAGTGAAGACCAGTCAGAAGCATTGCAAGAGCTACCAATGCATCCCGAAAAAATCACTGTTTGGTGTGGATTATGGGCCGGTGGCATCATCGGGCCGTACTTCTTCAAAGACGACAATGGCCGGAACGAGCGCTACCGTGCGATGATAACAAACTTTTTTTTGCCCAAAATGGAAGAGCTGGACTTAGCTGACATGTGGTTTCAACAAGACGGTGCCACATTCCACACCGCACACGAAACAATGGCCCTATTGAGAGGCGAGTTCGGTGAACAGTTTATCTCACGTTTGGGGACCGTCAATTGGCCGCCTAGATCGTGTGATTTAACGCCGTTGGACTATTTCTTGTGGGGCCATGTTAAGGCTAATATATACAGGGATAAACCAGCAACGATTGACGCACTATAAGCCAGCATTTATTCGTGAAATACCGGCCGATATGTTGGAGAGAGTGTGCCAAAATTGGACCTTGCGCATGGGCCATCTAAAGCGGAGCCGCGGCCAACATTTACATGAAATAATCTTTAAACATTAAATTATATCGACCGTTCTATCGACTCAAATAAAGATTTAGTCATTTGTTCAAATTTTTTGTGTTTTTTTTTTTGAAAATCAAATCCTATAGGTACCTCTTAAAAAATCACCCGTTAGAAGACTACCATGTCTCTATGAACGGATAGACCTATGGCGAAATTGGCAACCAGCCGGGAGTAAGGTCTCCTTGTGACTATATATATCCCATTTTGCAATCACCTAACTTTTGTAGAAAAGGCCTTGGTATGTCGAGTAGAAGATAATAAAAATGCAATCGTACCGTCTTTTGCATTCATCGTAAAAGCCGTAGATTCTATTTATAGAAGCGCACTCGTGGTTGCCTCGCAACAGGAAGAAGTTCTCCGGGTATTTGATCTTGTAAGCTAACAAGAGACAGATCGTTTCCAGGGATTGCTTGCCTCTGTCCACGTAATCCCCTAGGAATAAGTAGTTGGCCTCAGGAGGAAAACCGCCGTATTCGAATAGACGCAGTAGGTCGGTGTATTGGCCGTGAATATCGCCGCAAATCTGGAAATACGGAAAATGGATAAACATTGTAGTCCAAGACACAAAAATATGTTTTTTTACTATCGCCGAGTTGCCATTAAGGTCACGTGTGCCGTTATACAGGGTGTTCCGTACTTAAGTAAACATGGCGAAATGGTATGGAGTATCAACCGAGACGTTTTCATCTCTGGAAATAGAAAATACTACATTCAGTTTTTACGGATATCGAAACGCCAAATCTTCAATATCATGCACCATTGAATCGATTTATTACCTAGGAGCAACGTAATATTAGAGAGACGGTTGAAAAGTCCAGAGCCAGACTCGGTTTTTTAATTGAAGAATGAAGGTGGGGTTTTATATGCGATCGGCGTTCGGAGGACTGAGTTATCTGGTGGGGGTACTCTGGGTCTCTTGAGTGACGTGGCTTTTGCGCTGTGTTTTTCAGAATTGGGAACCACGTTTTGTTTAAAGCAAGTCCTTCTTCTTTTCTATTGAAATTATCATTGCGTTTATAGATTTCAATTGCTTCTCTGTACATTCGGGCTGAGTAGTGAGTGGATGTTGATAGGACCTTAGTTTGATCGAACAGAACATTGTGGCCGTCTTGGAATGCATGTTCGGTTACTGCTGATTTATCAGTTTGTCCCAGTCGACAGTTTCTTTCATGCTCCTTGATGCGTGCTTGGAAGCTGCGTTTCGACACACCCTAACAACTACATATTTCCAGCGGAACAATCAATTTTATGAACAAACTGACGGCGTCGCAATGGGAAGTCCGCTAAGCCCGGTAATAGCCAATTTCTACATGAAAAAGTTCGAGGAAACAGCACTGAACACCGCTCCCAATCGTCCCAGTTGTTGGCTACGGTATGTGGATGATACCTTCGTGGTATGGAGCTACGGAAGAACAGAACTAGCAGTGTTCCTAAATCACCTAAGCAGCACTCACCCCAAAATCAAATTCACAATGGAGATAGAAGAGGACAATCAACTGGCCTTCCTAGCCGTATTGGTGGTCAGACGAGAGAACTTAAAGCTGGGTCACAGGGTTTCCCGCAAAACAACAACCACTGACAGATATCTACACAAGGACTCCAACTATCATCCTGGGCAAAAAAGAGGTGTCATTAATAATATGATAGACAGGGCACATTGAATTTGTGAACCTCGATACCTGCAGGCGGAACTGGATTATGTTAACATGGTTTTAAAAGCGAACGGCTAACTCTTCCTACCATACATTAAAGGTATCATGGACAGAATAGGAAGGTTGCTGCAGAAACACAACGTGAAGACCATCTACAAGCCGACAAATAAAATCCAGCAACTCCTAACATCGGTAAAGGACCATAGGGACCTCCTGAGCGGTGCCGGCGTATTCAGAATACCGTGTTCCTGTGGTAAAGTATACGTAGGCACCACGAAACGTAGCTTCCAAACACGCATCAAGGAGCATGAAAAAAACTGTCGACTGGGACAAACTGATAAATCAGCGGTGGCCGAACACGCACTCCAAGACGGCCACAATGTTCTGTTCGATCAAACTGAAGTCCTATCAACATGCACCCACTACTCGGCCCGAATGTACAGAGAAGCAATTGAAATCTATAAACAAAATGATAATTTCAATAGAAAAGAAGAAGGCCTTGCTTTAAACAAAACGTGGTTCCCAATTCTAAAAAACAGAGCGCAAAAGCCACGTCACTCAAGAGACCCAGAGTACCCCCACCAGACAACTCAGTCCTCAGTCCTCAGTCCGCTGATCGCCTATAAAACCGCACACTCATCCAGTTAACCGATCAAACATCACCAGCGGCTTCAATCTCCAGGAGGCAACCGGTCTCGTCCTGCTGGACGTGGAACGAGCCTTCGACCGAGTTTGGCACGATGCACTCATCGCCAAAATGGAAGCCGCCGGAATCGATGCGAACATGTGCCAAATAATCCAGAGCTATCTAACACAAAAGATGGTTCACGGTGAAGATTGGTACATGCCATTCAACAAGACGTCAGCTGGAAGCAGGCGTGCCCCAGGGGTCAGCCTTAGCCCCCCTGCTCTACAACATCTATACTTACGATGTGCCGAAGACAGCTGACACAATGCTGGCCCTATATGCAGACGACACTGCTATAGCCGCCAAGCATAGACGACCCGAGATCATCCGTAGGAGACTACAGGGTGAACTGGACCAAATTCAGGACTGGTGCGTGAAATGGAAAATCCGCATCAACGTCCAGAAGACGCAGGCAATCTTCATTCAACGAAGAAGGATTGCAAGACCTCTCGAAGCATCCATCTTCGTTGAAGATATCCAGTGGAGCGACAATGTCAAATATCTGGGGATCGTTTTTGACAAGTCCCTCACCTGGAAAGCGCACATAGAAGCTGTCATCGCAAAAACCAGAGCAGCCATGGCTCAACTCTATCCATTACTGGGTAGACACAGCCAGATGCCGCTAGCGACCAAGCTACGGCTGATCAAGGCCATCGCCAGACTTCAGCTCGCTTACGCCTCCGCGGTCTGGGGGTACGCTGCCCCCAGCTACCGCAAGCGACTTGCTGCTCTAGAGATGAAGCTACTCCGGATCGCCACCAATGCACCTTCCTACGTAAGGAACTCAACCTTGCGTAGAGACCTGCATTGGGATACCATCCACGAGTACATGAGGAAAAAAGCGGAGAAGACCTTCGAGAAAGCTCAGGACCACCCGAACGAGCAGCTACGATTCCTCATGGACTACGATCCGGACGAGAGGCCTCGCAACCGCAGAACCAGGTACCCCAGACCAAGGTCCCAGTTGGCACCCGCTAACTGGAACCTTGACTAGGAGACTAGGACAATTTGCGGCTGCTCCCCCCCCCCCACGGCGTGGATGCAGAGGACCAGGAACCACCGGGACCAGGACCCACCGGGACCAGGACCAACCAGGACCAGGACCAGGAACAACATATTGGTAAGAGGACTTGAAACTCTTGATTTTTCGAAAACAAGAGTTTCAAGAGAAACTAGCAGACCCTCTATCGATGATCGCTTAACGACATCGATAGAATGTGCGAGGTAAAGGGAACCAACCCGGCGTTCCCAGAGACTGAAACACATGAGGAGACGTTGTAGCAGACCGCAGGTCACGCACAACACATGGCCTACCGAGACGCTGATGAGTCGGGCCACGCGGAGGTTTAGGGTTTAGTGGGTATTAGGTGATCTCTTCAAGACCCTGGAGCCCCACACACGTCGTAGCTCGTGCTATGGTATGGTGCGTAAATGCATTCCCCCCTCGTTAAAAAAAAAAAAAAAAAATAACCGATCAGTTTCAGTCGACCCGCCAAGCCGAGCACTGAAGATGGCTACTGCAGATGTAGCCGAAAGCTATGGACCAAATTCAATCCGACACACTGTTTTTTAACTTTTTTGTTTTTTATCAAAATCAACGTCTTTTAAGCTTAGTATTGAAATATTTGACTATATACAAAAAGCCAATGAAAGGTGCTAATTAATTAGCCCAAAAAACTACTGCACTCCCTTTAGTTACTCAATTAATTTAGTTTGCTTATTAAAATATGTTTTTTAGCAGCTTGTGTGACACAAAAGTCAAAATGACAAGGGTAGTCAACTTTGTTTCATCAACATTTTACAAAATAATAATATTAGCTAAAGTTGTTTAGGGATCTCGAAATTCGAGAGTCGGATTCAAAAAGTTATACTCTGAATTTATTAGTATTTCACAGAAAAAAGAGTAACACATGAAATAGATTACAGGGAAAATTAATGCTAGGCACACTATTAATTTTTTTCGGTCAACAATTTAATTCTACCAACTGATTCTGTACAATACGAGCTTTTGTTAAAAAGGGAAACGTCATTCAATGTGCAATTTACCACCAAATTTGATCCTCCACATCAATTTGAAGTCAGAGGTAAAAATCCAAAAAAGCATCGTATGCACGTCTGGAATTGACATTCAATTGTATGATGTATCATTATGCAACGCAGTGTTTTCGAGAGAGCACGTAAATGTAACTATGCAAAAAATACTGACCTGTATATTTGGGTTTTTATCATAATCTTGATTTTATCTGGAGTGTCAAATCATTGAAAAAATACTGAAAAAACTGCGCACAATAATAATTTTCACGTTTATTTATATCATTTATTGCTATTATACTGTGTAATAATAATAAATCCAGAGTATAATTTACAGAGCGTCCACTCAATAGAATAAAACAAAATCGAAAAAATGAATACGATCCTGAAAAGTGTAAAGGTCAAGTCCGGCCCTGTGCTTTCTAACCGTCCGTCTAGTTTTACACTACTCCTAGGAAACTTTATTATCATTCAAAATTTAAACAAAATGGGTTCAATTGTGCTTAACATCCATGGTGACGCATCGAAAACGAAACAGAGGCATTTACTGGCAGCTCAGTTTTTTATTGGAAAAACGCTTAGACCCGTAGACTTTGTTTTCGAGGGGGACACAAGTTTGGCAAAAAATCACGTTAGCACGTGCAGCACCCTAAGCGGGGGTCACACCACCCCCAAAATCTTAAATGGAAAGGGAGGTCGAGTGATACCTTATTTTAAAGGTCTTTCAATTCCCTGTATTCAGTTCAGTAGTTTTGAAGATTTATTGATTTAAAGCTTAAATAAAACTAATACATCATCATTAGTGGAGATCAATACATTTGGCAGCAAAGTAATTTAAAAATGAAGAATGAACTGACCCGTTAGGCAAGTAAATGTTGACAATGGCCACCATGACTCTCCATGCAATAATAAAGATTTTGCTCAAAACGTTGCCCTAAAACCTCCACTTCTATTGCTTCGTTCCTTATGGGATTTTCAATGTTGCGTTTTTTATTGGCGACTGACCCAGTTTCCCGAAATTTAGCTACAAGTTTTAGAACATATTTTCGATGCACGTTACTGTTCTCATGTCGCTCATTAAATATTTCTGCTGTTCTATTAGCGCACTGATTATTTCCGAAAAATATTTCGATAATTTCAACTCTTTCTGCTGTGGAATATACCATGGTTAATTTATGTAATAAAGCGTTACAAGTTATTTTAGCAACAAACTTTGGTCAAATCAATTGCAAACTATGTACTCAATTCCTATTTAAAATAAGTACGAGATATTTCCTTATCTTTCTTCAAGAAATAAATTTTTTGCCACAAAAAAATGCTCAATATCTATTTTCAACAACAAAATGATAAACAAATCATGGGCGTAGTGAAGAAAAACATTTACTTATTAAGTAAATTCTTTTAGCCAAATTTCTTCTGAAAGTACTACAAACTAATTTGATGTACCTATTAAAGTCTACTTTAAGCTTTAAATCAATAAATCTTCAAAACTACTGAACTGAAGCTCATGTATTTTACATTATTATAAAAGGAATTGAACGACCTTTAAAATAAGGTATCACTGACCCCCCTTTCCATTTAAGATTTTGGGGTTGGTGTCACCCCCGCCCAGGGGGCTGCACGTGTTAACGTGATTTTTTGCCAAACTTGTGTCCCCCTCGAAAACAAAATCGACGGGTCTGAGCGTTTTTCGAAAAAAAAACTGAGCTGCCAGTAAATGCGTCTGTTTCGTTTTCGATGCGCCACCCTGTATATAGAATTAAATATTTGCCATGTAGCTAAATCCGTTAAAACTAAACTTTTTTATTTTCAAATATATATACTACCTACCACTTCACTATGTCCATTTTAGTACGGAGCACCCTTAATGTCTCTTCATTTTGAATGCCGGGCAATATTATGCATCTATAGGAGTATAGAAAAATCAGCCAGATTTAAAAACAACGCTACAAGAAGCTTAATAACACCGTTAGTCCGATTCTTGAACTGCCTAAGGTTACCAGAACTGGGAAAAGTCACCTCAGGCAAATTGTTCCACAATTTCGGCATCCTAGGAAAGAGGAAGTGGCCATATTGGCCGGTTATGGATGTGCCAAGCATAGCGCTAACACCGTAATGTTTTTCTGCTGAAATGTGGGGAATATTCTAATTAGTGTAAACGATTCATTGAAAGAGACTCAAGCTCAAATTAAATCAGTTACTGCAAGAAAATCTCTCGAAGTTCTATAAAATAGCAAGCAGAGGGTTCCTTAAAGAAAAAATGATATTTTCGTAAAAGTTACATGCTAATCTTTGATTTTAATGTAAGAAATGAAGTATTTGCGATATGCGCTAAAGTATAGTCTTACCGCGCTCGTACTTCAGGGGACAGTGACCTTCCTCCCCAGCGGATTCCAGAGCGTAGAACAGCAACTTTATAGCGTAAATGATACCTTTCAAGTTCTAAAAAAATCGGACGTTGCAAAAAATCTCTTTAGAATTGAGACAGAGGACTCGCCTTTTGGGATATCCGTTGGAAGAAGTCTACAATCTAGAATAACTATCTAAAGTTACGAAACGTACCTTGAGAGGAGCTTCAAGTTCCAACAATATCGGCTGCTGCAAGAAGATCTCCCTGGACTTGAGGCATAGAGCTCTCACTTCCGTCTCGGTCATATGCACCGATTTGCCGGGTCTGCTGCCCCTAACTTCCATCAGACGCTGAATCAGATTGTCCACGTTCAGCTCAGGCTCCGCCATTTCACTCGTCTAGCTCTGGAAAAATCCCGACGAGGTAGGTGATAGGTGTCAAAGCGGTAGACACTTTGACATTTGCCTTAACTAGTGATTTAACGAGTCGGAAGGTTATGTTCTCGACGTGTCAAAACATCATGTGGAGGTCCTTGCTCTAGGCATCTTACTGTCTACCCGGAAATGCATATAAGTTGTAGTCACCGTTCTTGGCTGTTACGTGATCAATGCCATAGGTAGACAGATCGAGTCTCAGTACCATGGGCGGATCTTAATCTTCAGCGCATCTGCTACTCTCTCCAGTACGCGTGAAGAGGGTAACAGGAGACCGCTGTTTTCATTCTCTTCCTGGCAATACTCTAGTAAATTTAACACGAGCTGCCGGCCTTCTCCATTGATCGTATTTCCGGGCATTGTACAATTTTATAATCTAGATTGAAGTAAGTTGTCATTCTGACAAATATGATTCAAGGGAACTTATACGTAACGACAAACTTTTCAAGTCGGAGACACACAACTACAAAACGTATGTCTTTGAGCTTACCGAACAATCGTTCACACACAGGGGTAAGTTGCATGTGTACGTATGCGAGAGATGGATGTATGAAAGCAATTCCTGTAGTTTTACTTTGAACCGCCAAAAACCGTGAAAAGAACTATACGAGACTTCAAAAGATAAGTGTTGTTGGCCCAAATCAAAGGATTGACAGTAGAGTTCACGTTTACTTTAATTCCTGTCAAAGATATCTGGAGACACTTCTCTTCCAGATAGTGTTGATCTTAAATCCATCCCAAGCGCGTAACCAGCTCAAAACGGAAGGGGGGCGCATTGTTTAATCTATATATATGTGAAAAATAAAGCTTCTGCCTTTAGTTGGGTACTTCGACAAAATTCAAGCAATGAGGACTCTTTATACTTTATTAGTCTCTAGCTTTCAATGGACTATGCCATCATCATCAGGAGCTGCAATAACATTGAGAAGAAATAGCAACTATTGTGCAAAATGATTTTAAATTACTTACAATAGTATGTGAGATGGCTGCTAAATGTTATTAAAGGTTAAGTTGAGGGAAACATGTAGTAACCTGGTGAAAGCTGGATCCATGGTACATTCGTTAAAAATAGTATAAAATACACACAGCTGTGTGTCAGGAACACATCAAAACGGATTAAAAATATTTGGAACGAAATTTTTACATGTTACATCGTGAAACAACCTGATGCTGCACAAAATGGTGTGGCACAGGATCATTAAGTAGAATGAAACATTTGACAGATGATATTGATAGTGTCAGTGTCGATGGATGGAAAGAAAATTTGTAAAAATGTGTGCTATGTTGCCAAATCACTTGAGATGGTGTGATTTATCAAGATATGTTAAATACAAAACTTGTCAACAGACCAGAGGCAGTTGAACAAACAATATTATTAAACAGGTGGACAATTGAATTAAACAATTATTTTATTATGAGAAAAAACATTAGATATTAAAATTTGAATGGGATGGAATTTTGGAGGAAATGGATGGAATAGACCAAAAAACCAGATTCCATTTCTGGACAACTAAAGGCGGGAACTTTATTTTTCACCTAACTGGTCTAGACGAGAATGACCACGTCTCAATATATATATATATATATAACTTGAGACGTGGTCATTGTCGTCTAGACCAGTTAGGTGAAAAATTAAAGCTTCCGCCTTTTGTTGGGTACTTCGACAAAATTCAAGCAAAGAGGACTCTTTATACTTTTTTTAATTCTCTCTAGCTTTCAATGGACTTTGCCATCATCATCAGGAGAGTAGTATGTGAGGATGTTGCTAATTGTTGTTTACGTATAGGATGAGGGAAACGTCCAGTAACATGGTGAGAGCTGGATAGATGGTACAATGGTCAAAATTATATAAAATATGACAAGACAAGTTAAAAACAGATTAAAAATTATTTTTTTTTAAATAATTTTTAATCTGTTTTTAACTTGTCTTGTCATATTTTATATAATTTTGACCATTGTACCCTCTATCCAGCTCTCACCATGTTACTGGACGTTTCCCTCATCCTATACGTAAACAACAATTAGTAACATCCTCACATACTACTCTCCTGATGATGATGGCAAAGTCCATTGAAAGCTAGAGAGAATTAAAAAAAAGTATAAAGAGTCCTCTTTGCTTAAATTTTGTCGAAGTACCCAACAACAGGCGGAAGCTTTAATTTTTCACCTATATATATACGTATATATATATATATATATACATATATATCATTGATATAGGTAAAAAAACAACAATCCATTATTAAATCTCTGGGTCACTAGATGACATGCATAACATTAAATGTCTAAACCAAGACATTGAGAAACTCGCTTTTAAATCCCAAAGTAGTTATTGGCATACCCTTTACCTCTTTTGTTCAGGAGCCATTTGTTGACCACACTAGAATATACTACACCCCGCAGAGATCTGGTGGCCTTTTGACTTCCACTCTCAGCAATGAAACAAAAGAACCATCAATTTTCCTCGAGCTCTAATCCGTCCCTGCATTCGACGAAAGGTAGATAGAAAAACGGCATCGAAAAAGCGTGGAGCATTTGGAATAATACCTATCTATAAGTCATTGTTAAGTCTCGATCTAAGTGAAACGAATTTTCAACCGGTCGGATATTTATCGCTGGATGAGTCACAATGGAAAATCCGGCACTGTATACAATGTGATAAATTGGATGGAGTATCGGGATATAGAGTCACAGTCCGTTGACACCTTAAGCGCAGCCAAGTAGATGGAGAGTTACTGCAGCCTATATCAACCGATCTAAACTGTAAAGTGTTCTGGAAAAGTTATTCTTTAGAGTTCCACTGTCTATATCGTTTTTCAATCCTAGAGGTTTTGTTTCATGTCCATTCTTGAGATGAATGACAACCGAAACATCTACATTGTATTCAAGTTCTGACTAACAGAAAACAGAAAACATTCTCGAAATCCCCGGACACTTGAAATAATGGTGAATGGATATGCTACTTAGGAAAGTACAATTAATTAAAACAATGGTGAATGAGCCAGCGAGTCTGCCAGTTGATGCACATGGTAGAGGTGATTATCTCCTAGCCGTTTAGATGAGATGCACAAGACGGCTGTATTTCCAATTCTAATATACTAATTCCAGCTATTTTTTGAAATATACGACTATAGATAGATGGAAAAGCTATTCTTTGGACTTCCACTGTCTATATCGTTTTTCAATTCAGGACGCTTTGTTTGATGAATTTCTCCTTGAGATTGATGACAACCGAAACATCTACATTGTCTTAAATTTTCGACTAACAATTTATGGAAAACATTCTCGAAAATATCCATGTACTTGTAATAATGGTGAATGTGCTAGCTACTTATCAATATATATGTTAATTAATTAAAATAATGGTGAATGAGCCAATGTTCTATACCACCCAATTCAAGTTTATGTGCAAGAGCGACTTTAAGAATTGGCTTGTGCAGTCTAGAATGGTACAGTTAGTGAATCTGTTTACTTAATCCGTATGAGATTGTAACGTAACTGCCAAATACCGCGAAAAGAACTATGTTGCGACGTCTTTTAGCTCTGAGAATATTCATACTATAATATTAGTCACGCTGTAGGGACATTTTTGAATATCGCGTCTCAAGTAAAAACATGATCACGCAATTCTCACATAGCTTTTCCCTCATCCATGGACTGTCGGGTTGAGTGAGGATTTTCGCATTGAAAACTACCCTATCGCATCTCAAGAGCAAAGTAAAATTTAAAATCGAGCAAAAGGCACAGAACGAACAATAACAGTTCGAGCATTTGAAATTTTCTGGACGCCAATTACCGGCATATCGACCAGAAAAGCTTTCGTTTCAATTCCAACAGCCGGCGCCATTTTAGAAGTTCTTTCTGGGATGTGTTATGTCGCCACCGCTGCAACATATTGCTTTGAGAGTTTGCTGTTTGCGTTCGAGTTTATACGGTGAGCTAGACTTTTCTGCAAAAAATCTAACAGCATGAAATGTGAAGAAGTAAGCACAATATATTTACTCTTTGTAAGGTTGAAGCAATGGACTGTGTTTGCTTGCCCATATTACTTGAAATATTACCGTTGACTATCCCCACATAGGGAAACACGGTCTGTGCAGAAAAAACGGTGTGCACCTATATGATGCACATATTCGTTAACTTGTTAAAGAGTGGCATAGAGCAAAATAAACTGACTTCACTATTCAAATTATATGGTAAGCTTCTAAGTAAATAAATAAATTCTTAGCTTTTTTGCTTCAATATGCGTGTCCCACTTCAATTTCTAGTCTATGTGGACATCTAGAAATTTTGTATGTTCTGTATGTTGTGATTCTAGATTTTTCAATGAATTCAGGGTCAGCTTATTTGTATCTAACCAGTTTTGGCAGTCGACTTTGCGATCGCGGACTTCCCAGGAAGCTCAGATATATTTTTACATCTATCCGAGATTATAGTAACATACAATGACAACAATATATTTTTCGTTTGATGTCTTATTTTCAATTTTTACTTATTGCTTTGTATTACTTAAACATGAATGAGCTGTTTCGACGTTATACATTCTGAGCTTTTTGGTTAAAATGCGATGTGTCGAATGCCTTGCTTAAATCACAGAATATGGTCTGCAGACATTATTTTTTTTGAAAGCGTCAACTAAGTCATCGACCAACTTCAAAACTGGTTGTGTCTTTTCGACGTCGAAATCCAAACTGGTTTAAACAGAACGTATTGTTACTTCCAAAATGTAAGACGATTTGTTTTGCTCAGCATTATTCATAAATTTTGCTGAGAGCAGAGTTAGAGGAATTATAATATGATTATTGATCATTTTTACTAGAAGAGTGCTCGTATCATAAATATCCAGAGCGGAACTTGAGCATATTAATAATGAGTATACTTTATCTGAAGTCACTTGAAACACTGTGAAATACCGGGTGCGTTTTATATATCTATATTTAACACGCTCTGTTGCTGCAAAAATCGCCAAATTTCGCAGCAAATATCCCCCGTATAAGATCAAAGGCAGTTTCACCGGTCCACGTGGAGTAAAGCACGCCTATGCGTGGACATAGCCAATGAGAAAGCGTGTAT